ACAAGTGAGAGATAGCACTTCATAACCCCCCCCAACACACACACACACACACACACACACACACACACACACACACACACACACACACCCCTACTTTAACTACTTTGTGGGGACCAATTGGAATATTTTCACATCTTAATAGGTTCAGCATATTTTCAGCTAGAAAGGCCATTCAGGTATCAGAATGTTCAGCTCTTCAAGGACATTCCTACTTGTATTATTGAATCTCATCCTTCAGATTATTCAACAAAGAACTTCCGCCATTTTTGTTCTCATCCTTCAGCTGTTTCAGCAATTGATTTCAAGCATTTTCAGGATGATCTTTCAGCATATCAGCATCCACACGCATTCAAGACAGGAAATGCATTTCTCTAGTTGGTTGTTGTTTTTTCATTGTTATCTGTTTGTTTTTCTTAAATTTGGACCTTGAGTCTGTAATAAAGTATATCTATCTATCTATCTACGTAACTCGAAACATACTCTCAGGTCGTTAAGACAGTCCAGGGTCAGAGCCAGCAAACTTACACAGCTGAGGGATCCACAAACGAGCGGTCAGAGAGTCTAATAGTCCATACACAGAAAAACACAATCAGAATCAGAGGAGTTAGGCAAAGCTAAGTGGTCACAAGGTAATCCGTGGTCAGAGCTAGAATAACAGGTACAGAAAATGCTGGAAAGCCTGAACATAAGTTAGAACAATCTGGAAACTTCCTGGTGGGAGGAAGTTGTCTATAAGGGAGTGAAAACAGGTGAAAACAATGAGTACTGATTGTAGTTGAGATAAGGCTGTAACAGTAAGTTGTGTCACAATAAAAGCATGAGACCAGAAACAGGCGGGACGGAATCATGACATCACAGTTTATTGGCTGTACCATTTAGATTTCTCCTAGTTATGTCAATCCAGTTCTTATTCTATTCTATTTTTTATTCTACTTTATTCTATTTTAGTTTCTAAATGTTATGGCACCCAATACTAGGTGAGAGAGAGAAACAGTATTTCGATTTTTTGTATGTCCTGCACATATGGTGAATTGACAATAAAATCCTTGAACCTATGGCCTCAAGGATATACACAAACTAAATGTAGAAACTTTGACCACAGGGATATCATGATCATCAAGTGGAACTGGGAAAGCTAGAGTAATTTATGCATGGTCCAACTTAGTCAAAGACCACTAACATTTAGTAATAACTGCTATTTGCATGGAGCAGCATGGTGGTTAGTGCTGTCACCTTACAGCAAGAAGATTCAGGGTTTGAGTCCCGGCCAACCTGTTGTTTTTTTTTTTTGTGCAGCGTTTGTATGTTCACCTTGTGCCTGCGTGGGTTCTTTCTCGCCTCCACCCACAGTCCAAAGACATGCAGCTTAGGTTGGTTGGCAATTGCTCACAGGAGTGAGTGTGGGTGTGTGTGGTTGTTTGCCTCTAAGTGTCAGCCCTGTGATAGGGCCTCTATCCAAGGGCCTCTCACCCAATGTCAGCTGGAATTGGCTCTAAGGCCCCCATGACCTTCTTCAGGATAAGTGGTATAGATAATGGATGCATGGATGGATGCTATTTGCAATACATTATGTTGATACATTGCATATGCCGCTTAAAAAGACAGTTAATGAATTGCATTTCAAACCTACACCCTTATTTTGCTTAATAGTGCAACATTTTTATGTTTTATTGGACAGTTTCTTTCTAAACTGCAGTTCACAAAATGTGAAAAAGACTAACATTATAAAATGCTCACTTGATTTCAGTATCTCAGTCTGTTAAATCTCTATAATAACTCCAGCTAAACCATAGTCTCCACTTTTGCACAGAACAGTTGTGGATTTGTCCCCCAGTCTTACCTTAGAGTTGCTTTAGGAAAGCTGCATGGCCCGCATGAAAAGGAGAATTACATATAATACATACATACATATAATACATTGACCAATAACTCTTTCAGTGCACATACTGAGTAAGCATGTAAGTTTTATTTTAATGCTTAACAAATGTGAACATATCCTTTAATCACATGATCCTTGAGACAGTGTGAATGTTAATGCTGTTAAAACATTTCAAACATTTATAATTTGGTAAACGGTAGCTATAACCTCACACCATATCAAAACAAGCAGACCATCACAGTATCATAATAGCAACAATGTTAGCAGCATACAGTATTTCAGTTAAACTGGTTACAGTGCTCTGACATGATCAGACAGTGTTATTGGTCCACTATGCTACTTTAAAGTGAGTTACAGTAAATAAACTCAAGGGAGACTATGCTGCACAACAGTAGCAAATATGACAAGAAGACAGATGTCTGGACTTCTCTGGTGAAAGCTCCCACTTAAATGATATATCACGTGATCTTGAAACCGTAAATATGGACAGTTGTAGATGATGAGACCCCAGTATGTTCAAACTCTTGATAGATGAAACTTAGACAGGAGTGCGGGGATGGTGGTCGGTTTGTGAACATGCATGTAGAAAACAATAGCTCCTCCGGTGATGACGGTCAGGCTCAGCTTGATCAAGTGGCCAGTGGTCGAAGCCTGCTGTTCATCCACCTGCAAAAGATTGTGTTTTACATGTTAGTCATACTTCATACCTGCTTCATTATCAAATACTCAGGGTCTTGGCCAGCTGTACTGTACATTTAGCTTGGATTATTGTCAGGGTAGCAGAATGTGGAAGAACCTGTGTTCACTTCAGACCTGTCTGGTTTTCAGGGGCTGGTACATGCGGTCAAACTGAGTGAAGATTGCTTTGCGTGCTCCCTCCCATTTCCCTGGTCCTGTCAGGCGGTACTGGTAGGATGTGACAGGTCCCCAGAGTACCCTCTTAAACAGTGGGTAGTCTGTGAAGAAGAGCCAGAGGAGACTTGGCCGCACTCCAATCTCCCCAGCTAAGTCGTCCATGTAGGAAACAAAGTCCACCTGCAGGGGTGTCAGCTTTGACACAATGTAGCTGTAGAGAGGACATATTAGAAAGGAAACATTTCACTTGATACTACTGGAGTGAATGGAGTCATGATTTGTCATATGAAAAATCACTGTGAGTGATCTATGATCACTCCATAAGATAGAACACTAAAAAGACATATTCTATGATTATATGCTACAATATTAATAAAGTAAATAAATGTTAAGAGCCTTACTTTTTCTGAATGTCTTTGGTGTCCTTCTCAACAGCCTTGATCATGGCCTGGTTTGAGGGCAGCTGTACATGTCCTGAAACAAACAAACAAACAAACAAAAAGACAGAAAATGATATAAATATAGATTTTTGCTTGTGACCTTGGAATGTTTTTCAAATCTTGGGGGGAAGGTTCACCATCTCTTGCTAAGGGATCACAGTGACTGTTGTTTCCTCACCTTTGAAGACACGTGAGACCCAGCGGGTCTGCATTTCAGCCTGAGGCATGACGGATCCATCAGAATGGATAAAACCCACAACAGCCAGAGTGGGATGCTCCAGGTTAGGGGGGAAAACGTGCTTGTACAAACCCACACGATGTCCCGATTTGTACAAAGCACTGCTTGGCAAGTAGGGAAAATCATAGTTGTATCCTGTGGCAAAGACGATTGTATCCACCTTTAACAAAGAAGAAGTAACTAAATTGCAATGAAGTCATCGAGAAGTAAAGTGTGCAGTGCCAACTTTAGAGTAAAGATTTTCTGACATTATTCACAAGGCTGCCATCATTAAACACCACGGTGGAGCCTTGGATCTCCTTCACATTTGGCTTGACAATGACAGCCCCAGACAGAATCCTGAAAGGCAGGTCGTCATTGATCACTGGGATCTGACTGTAGAACCTGAAGAGGTTTGAGGTGGCAGAGCACAGTTGCAAGATCACTGTTGTTTTTGAATTTCCACAATATTGTATTTCACCATTATACTGTGAGTTAAACAATTCTCTAATCAATCCTACACATTGTTGCCTAAAGTCAGCTCACTAGGAATTCACAACAGAGAATGAAGGCTAGTAACATGCAACAATGAGAGAAAAACAAACTTAATATAAGAGACTACATTAGAAATAACTATATTCATATAGTTACTCAGACAAACAGAAATATACTACTGTACCTGTGTTTAGGTTTGAGGCCATACATGGTGTGATCATACATGGAGTTGAGCTTTTTCTCACCAAGCAAGTTGAGAAACCTCATAGGCAGCAGCTTGAGCATGATGTGGAAAAAGCGTGTGTTGAACTTGTCCACTGGCAGGCCACTGTCAGAAACCTGACGAATGACCCAGGCTCCACTACGAGTGCTCAGATACACCTGCAGAATGATGGAGAACAGCAGGAAGCAACAGCAATTAATGCTCCTGTACCTGTTAATGCCAGTCTTATAATTTCATCTTTCCTTGTTTCTCGATCATTGGGTGACAAAGAAGCTGCTCAGGCTTGCCTTTATTACAGAGATTCCAGTACTTGTAAATCAGCCTGGAGAAGGAAGGGTCAAGGAACAGGGAAACAACAAGAACAACGATCAGGAATGACTTTCCAACCTGCTCTGCCACTCTGCTTCCCTCCACAGCGATGTCTCCTCCTGAGTTACCGATGCCAATGACCACCACTCTTTTATCATACATGTCTTCAGGCCCCTTGTAGTCCCAGCTGTGGAAATATTTTCCTTGAAAGGTCTCAATTCCTAAAACACAGCAATATGATGTCTTAATACACTGTCCAGCTCTTCCTTGTGCTATATGTTTGTGCATTATAACAGATATTAGAGTCATGTGGCAGTCGCTGTTTGTATCATGTATGAAAATAGCCAGTGTGTACACTAAAACATGTCTTTACCTGGGAAGTCTTTGAGTGGCAGATTAGGGTAGTTGAAGTGACCAGAGCAGCAGATAACTGCATCAAAGACATGCCTCTCCTCCTGTCCATCTTTGTTCTCGGTTACCACGTCCCACTGCCCAGTGCGAGAAAAGTCTGGTCTCTGTTTGACACTCTTCACTAAAGTCTGAAAAGAGAAAAAGATAAATGATAGATAAATCTATGGATATCAAATCAAATCAAATCAATTTTATTTGTATAGCGCCAAATCACAACAAACATCATCTCAGGACACTTTACAAAGGTCTAGACCTTACTGTTATCACTATTCTATTACATAGGGAAAACCCAACAAATCCCCCTTGAGCAAGCACTTGGCGACAGTGGGGAGGAAAAACTCCCTTT